AAAGAGCTAGGAATTATATCCTCTAGGGGACGTGGACGTAAAGGGACGTAAATTTTATATACTAAATACTTTAGGGATCCATCTTTACATATATTAAAGCCATTTTTGAAGAATTAAAAATTTTGGATGTCTTAAATGATTTGAACATTGATTTGATTGTTAATGAAATTTCTATTCCAGTTTTGAACAACAATACAAATATGATTTTTGACGAATTACCTAATTTTGAATTGCAAGAAACTAATGATATTAAAATTAATGACTATCAAGAAACATCAATTGGTTTAAAGAAAAAGAAAAGGTTCAATCTCAATATACCACAAAGAACAGAAGGAATGCTAAATCAAATAAAAAAAGAATTTTACCAGTCTCTTAAACAATATTGGCAATTTGACAATGAGCTGTCTTTTGTAAGTTGTTTGTTAGATCTTCATGTTAAGGATCTAGGATTTTTAACCTCTGCACAACAAATCAAAATATGAAATTTAGTTCGAAATATTTATAATGATGAATCACAAATCATTTCAACTTTCAACTCTCTTATGACAAATAATCAATCAAGCGAAAGTACTCAAGAATTTGACAAAAACAGCAATCGACACCGCTGAAAAGGAAAACTTAGTGACAAAGTGTATAAAATAATCCCCAGTAATATTTCATTTATAAATGATAAAATTATCCAATATGATGATATGCATCAAGTAACGTGTGAGGTAAATTCATTAGATTGGTGGAGAATACGAAAAAATGATTATTTTATTCTTTATTGGCTAGCCAGAAAGTATCTTGGAATTTCTGGTACTTCAGTTCCTAGTGAGAGATTGTTTTCAGATATAAGAAATCAAATAACAGCCAAACGAACCTCTTTGGATCCACAGCTTGTTCGGGAAATAATGTTTCTTAAACGAAACATGTATTTATTTGATATTTTTTCTTCTTTAAATTGAATGAGGTAAGAAAGTTTATAATTAAAACAATGCAATTTAATTACTAATGTTATGCGAAAATTCGTCATAGATTCTTCTTGGCACTACCTTACACCCGAATATCGAGGATACCATATTCTGAAGAATAGCCTCATAATAGTAAATAATTATCTGATACATTTTAATAAAAGAAGATACTCAAATCTGTATAGGTTTGATTCTAAATGATTTATGGATTTGGATAAAAGCACAGCCAGTTTAGTCAGCAGTGATTCCAAGAAACACAAAATCCCCCACTACATACTATATGTCGCAAAAAACTTTTTCAGTCAGAAAAATTTTCTTTGTATCAAAATATTTACTCTTGTTATTAATATAAGAATATAAGTTACAGTAGTGTTAATTCATTCCAGTACATCAATAATACTATCCTGAATTACCTGATTGCAACTTTGTTATTAGTCATTCTTGTTTTTGAAAAGAATAAAGTGATTTGTCGATGCTAGAAAATTTATGATTTGATCATACCAATCAAGTACAATTCATATGTGTTACCAACGTGATCATATCTAAAAAATAATCGATCTTCGAATAAATATCTTCTTCATATTATTCAGGTTTGACGAAGATCGTTCGAATAAGAAAAAATATTGGTAGTGAATATTCGAATAAAAATTCTTTATTCGAATCCAATCACTACAACAAATGATACTATCTTATTCACTAATCCCAATACTTCATTACCCTGTCATATTCAAATCTTAACCATATTTTTAAATATTGTTAATAGTAAACCTGCATCAAATGCAACCCAAGACTTAATTACCCTTATGACCATCAATACTAAAGGCCTAAATAATCCTGTCAAACTTAAAATCTTGGCAAACCATACCTCGGATCATATTATTCTTTTCTGTACTGAGACCAAACTTAAAAAAGGAAACAACCATCTAAGAAATATTAACGGAAGATCAATAATTTATGGAAACTCTGGTTCATTGGCAAAAAATGGCATAGCTCTTATTATAGGAAGAGATCTTACTTTCCATGTATATTAGCCATTCAGAATATTGTTCTTCAATTCTGCTTAAATTCAAAGGAAAAGTTAATATCCTTGTCACAACAACCTATTTACTCCACGATAAGACAGAAAGAAAAGCTGCAGTTAAACAAGTAATCCAAATAATCAAGACAGTTGCCAATAACAATTTCCATCATGCAATCTTAGAAGACTTTAATACATACTCCAAGAACAATCCATCAATCAATGCTCCAACTTTACCTGTCAAACAGATAATATACGAACACCTGTATAACTATATTGACATAGGTCACCAATTAGATGAAAAAGCTTTTACCTTTATTACTCCTACCAGCGTCTCTCGAATTGATCAAATATGGCTATCAAGGAACCTAGTTTCTAAAGTAGTTTGGTATAAAGTCCAGGAATGTGATTTTATTCCAACAGATTATTATATAGTATCAGTTAAGTTAGATTACTTCGAATTTAGGAAAATCAAACCCATCTACAAATTCGATATAGAAAAAACCCCAAGTATCAATATCATAAACTTTATCCAAAATGTAGAATCCTGGATCAGCCTTTTAAATTCTTCAAACTGAAATGAGCTTCATGATCTTATAAGAAATTCCATGAACAAGTTCATTAAAAAGACCAGGGTTAACATAATTCCTAAGGACTCTTGTACCGATGCAGAAAAAAAACTCAAGAGCCAAACAAGGAAAATCAATAATACAATTTCAAAACTTAAAAAAAATCATACTACAGTGCAACTTCAAGGACAAGAATTACAAGCCCTATACAAAACTGCAAATGAAAGTT